AAGTACTTCAGTCTTGGGGCGCCTGGGTGGCGCAGTCGGTTAAGCGTCCAACTTCAGCCAGGTCACGATCTCGCGGTCCGTGAGTTCGAGCCCCGCGTCGGGCTCTGGGCTGATGGCTCAGAGCCTGGAGCCTGTTTCTGATTCTGTGTCTCCCTCTCTCTCGGCCCCTCGCCCGTTCATGCTCTGTCTCTCTCTGTCCCAAAAAAATAAATAAACGTAAAAAAAAAAAAATTAAAGTACTTCAGTCTTTCTCACACATTTTAGCTTCTAGTTGTATGCTGTTCTCTCGTCATTTGGTTCCCTGTGTCCCATCTTGGCCCATGCAGCCAGAGTGTAGACTTAAAGGCAGCGGCCATGCCTCACCTTGTACCATGCTCTCCTCAGAGCCACAATCATGCTTACCATAAGCAGTATGGAGAATGGTTAAGACCTCTGCATTTCCTTCAATGATGCCTACCTACACTTGCTAGCCATATGACTTTGGGCAAGTTACTTCGTCTGTCTTCCTAAACCACAGTCTCCTTGGCTGTAAAATGGGGACAATGACATCCTCAGCCTCCTGGTTGTGAGCAGATGAAGGAAAATAATTCACAACATGTGTTCTGCAGACCACCTGGTCCCCAGGAACCCCTAAGTAAATGGCAGCCCACTGCTACTCTTCCACACGTAGTTGCTGACTGCTGTGACTAATTCTAATCATCTACCATGTCCAGAAACAAAATGATGGTTCCAGTCTGAAATTAGGAAGTCACATATTTTATATATGCAGATGGGGTTTCCTTGTCTTAGGAATCTACTGAATTTCATTGATATTGTTTCCTTCATCCACACTGTAATAACTCGGAATTCAGGATGGGTCTTATAAACAATTTTCTAAGTAGCCGAAAGATGTTTTGCCTTGTGATCTTATATTCCATCAAATCCAGTGTAAATTTTATGGATTATTTTAAAGGAAGATTTTAAAAAGAGAATTGAAGTGCTCACAAGCCTTCTCTTCTTCTATGTTGCTTTCACGCTTTTAACTCTGCCCCATGAGCCCTTGCCTCAGAGTGCCATCATTATGATCCTTTTAACGCCTTAGACAAAGGAACACTGTTTCTCGGTCTTTCGTTGTTACAGACAAATGTTTTTCAAGCCACTTGACAACATTTCAACTTGATATTTGGTACTCTGGAGGCAGAAAGCCACGGTTAGTAGAGCACTCTCATAATTAACATGTTTATTTGGTCACTACTGTCTTGAAAAGCCTTAATGATGTTGATGTATGTCCTAATTTTTTCCCAGAACATTTATGGATTTTGCCTGTTGCTCAAGCATAATTATTAATAATGACTCCTTTTATTCTCAGGAGTACCCTGGTTTGGATGACAAATGATGTGGATACCCCATGTGACGACTAAGGTAGGTCTGAAATTTTTGGCTTTAATACCTTGTATTTTAATTTTGTCTTTGTTATTCACAAACCTGGCTTTTAGTCAATCATTTGTATGGTCTTGGCAGTGTTCATTCCCTTCTATTTTTGCTGCATGCTGGTTATACAATGAAAAGCAAAACACACATGGCTTAGCTCATGAAGTTTACAGTGTAGTAGAGCCGCAGATATTCATTAATTATACATAAAAAAAAGTCACAGCTCCTCAGGAGAGGTACAAAATGCTACGGGTACCTATAAAATATAACACACGGGAGGTGGGGTGGAGCCTTACAGGCAATGGAAATACACCTGGATTATTTTCTGCCCCTAAGAGGATGTCATTTTAATATAGTGCTCAAAATGTCACTGTGTTTGCCTTGCATTCGTTTACCATGGTGAGGGGACACTTCAGTACTAAGAGGCTCTTCTCAGGACAGGCATGAAGGAATAATTGTGTGTGTGTGTGTGTGTGTGTGTGTGTGTGTGTGTGTGTGTAGGGCAAAAGGCAGAAAGTTAATTCTTGGTTTCTATTTAAGTAGTAAAATGATGATGGGAGCAATAAAGAGCAAGGGAGAGAAGTGAAAAATAGCAATGTTTGGGATTACATATAATTTTGACATTTCTGGTTTATTTGTTTTTCTCCTGGATTTCTTTTGGAACACTTTTTTAAGCATAGGGCAAAAATGCTCCAAGAATCTTGACTTGTGATGACAGAAAATGAAGCCCAGAGAAACAAGGCACAGAACCCAGATTCAAACAGGGGGAGAAAAAAGTTAAAAGGTGCTCATAGCCATGCTGGCTCCCATAGTACCTGTCTCCTTCCTGAGATCTAGAATGTCAGCACCCCAAGCAGATTGTGAGTTGGAAATTCTGGGTCTGCTCACCCAGTTCTGAATGAGCATAAATTCTCTGCGAGGGACTCTTTAGACTACAAATATGAAAAATTTCTCCTCCGAAAGAACTGAGGGACCAGAAAGTCAGTATGGGAGAAAGTCTGCTTATGAACAGGGTTCCCAGTTACTGACAAAACACCAGGTGTGTTCATTTACTTCCAAGACCCTACATGATTAACTGGCCTGCTTTGTGTTTATCTGTTGCCTGAAGAGCCCATTTCCAGCATAAATAGGTCCTCAGAAAGACAGGAAATTAAACAATGGCTGTCTAAGTATACAGGGCCAAAGCCACACACACACACACACACACACAGACTGTTCCATAGTGCCTGCATAGAGAATGTATAAATTATGATGATACATCTTAATCCCCAGGCTCTGCACTAATCCAGATAAATTTTAGATAAACATCAACTTAGTGGTTGGCAAATGTTTTATCTAGCCAAAGTTTTGCTAAATTGTAAAGACATACTCCTACTTAAAAACTCAGCAAATTCACCAGAGATTAGAAGTAAGACAGTGGTGGTAACGTGTTGATTTTTCACTTAATGATGTGTCCTTAACACATGTGTGTATTAATGTGTGTCTGATGTGTGTACACATCACATATGTAATTAATGCAAGTTGGTAGAGCAGACAGAGCTCTGACTTGGGGTTCAGAGACCAAGGTTTAAATCCTGGCAATGCCATTTGTCACTGGTGTGTCCTCGGCAAATCTTTGAGCCACAGTTTTCTCATCTGTATAGTGGAGATACTGCGATGAAGTTTCGTATCTTCCCTGAGTTCTCAGAATTTAATAAGATAATACATGACAGTACTCAGTAGTGCCTGGCATATAGTAAGTCATCTGTAAATTGAAGTTGCATTGATTGTGTTTAGGTTCAAAATTCACATAAATAATTGATGATATAATTGTGGGTTTATTGCTGGGTTTTCCATTCAGTTCCAGTGATCTTTGTGTCTATTTTTATGCCAGTACCATACTGTTTTGATTATTACAGCTTTCTATTCGAACTTGAAGTCTAGAATTGTGTTAGTTCAACTTTTGTTTTTCTTTTTTCAAGGTTGCTTTGGTTATTCAGGGTCTCTCGGCTATTTGGTTCCATACAAATTTTAGGACTGTTTGTTGTAGCTCTGTGAAAAATGCTGTTGGTATTTTGATAGGGATTGCACTTAATGTGTAGATTGCTTTGGGTAGCATAGACATTTTAACAATATTTGTTCTTCCAACCCATGAGCGTGGAATGTCTTTCCGTTTCTTTGTGTAATCTTCAATTTCTTTCATCAATGTTTTATCGTTTTCAGAGTACAGGTCTTTCACCTCTTTGATTAAGCTTATTCCTAGATATTTTATTGTCCTGTTGTATTGTTTTTGTTTGTATTTGTAAATGGGATTATTTTCTTAACCTCACTTTCTGCTTCTTCATTATTGGTGTATAAAATGCAACAGATTTCTGTACATTGATTTTGTATCCTGCGACTTGACTGAATTAATTTATCAGTTCTATTAGTTTTTTTTTGGTAGAGTCTTTAGGGTTTTACATATATAGTATCATGTCATCTTCAAATAGTGAAAGTTTTACTTCTTCCTTACCAATTTGGATTCCTTTTATTTCTTTTTGTTGTCTGACTGCTGTGGCTAGGACTTCTAGTACTGTGAAATGGATGGAGGTAGAGAGTATAATGCTAAGTGAAGTAAGTCAGTCAGAGAAAGACAAATACCATATGATCTCTCTTGTATGTGGAATTTAAGAAACAAAACAACAAACAAAGGGGAAAAAAGGGAGGGAGGGAGAGAGAGAGACAGACAGACAGACAGACAGACCAAGAAACAGACCCTTAACTATAGAGAACAAACTGACGGTTATCTGAGGGGAAGTGTGTGTGGGGGGGGGATGGGTGAAATAGGTAAAGGGGATTAAGGAGTGCACTTACGATGATGAACATGGAGTAGTGTATGGAAGCCTTGAATCACTATACTGTATACCTGAAGCTAATATAACACTGTATGTTAACTATCTAAGAATTAAAATTAAAAACATAATAAAAAATTCTCATATATAAACCAGATGAAAACTTAATATCTCCACATCATGGTTTTCTCATATTGAATGTGGTCCTACTGCTCTGATCACTTATCACAAGTTATTATAGAGATCAAGTAAGATACTATATAAGAAATCATCATGAAAACTACCAATGTCTTTACATCACTAAATTCTATTCCTGAGACCAATATTACACTATATGTTAATTAAGTAGAATTCAAATAAAAACTTGAAACGAATAAACCAAGTTACCAATATCTTTACAAATATAAAGCATTACCTTTTCTGTCCATTGTCTGTTTGAGTTCATAGCAACTTGTGTTATTTGCTTGTTTTCACTTGGCACAGATTCCCCAAATGAAGGAGATACATCCCTATATGTCACCTTTTGTCTAATGCCAATATACATTGATTCTGGTATTATTATTTACTAACTGTGACCTTGAGTGAATTAAGCTCAGTGTGCCCATTTTTTTTTTTTTTAACCTTCAAAATGGGGACAATAAACCTACCTCAAGGGACTGTTACAGGAGTTCAGTGAGGGTTACCTGTCATGTTCAACAAGGACTTTGTTGACGCATCAGGTTGTGCATTCTCTCCTGCACATTCAGTACATTCAAGGCTGTCCCCTTGGACCCAACTGACCTGTGGATGATGCGCTGGCTCTGCAGATAGTCCAGGGCCATGGCCAGCTCACAGATGAAGAGCTTCACGGTGTCTTCCTGGAAGCGGACATTCTGCTGCAGGTGATAACGCAGGTCCCCACCCAGCAGGAGGTCCACTACCATGAACATGTCCTCCTCATCTTGGAAGGAGTACCTGGAATAGAATTAGAAATGAAAGTGTATCGAATACATTTACACGCTAAAGAGGCCCAGAGGCAAATCACACCTCATAGGTCAGAACAGAGTGTTCTTGACCGAAGAGTTCAAGCTCTGGGAGCAGATGGTCTATCGCTAGCTCTGTGACCCTAGACCTTCAGTTTCCACATGTAAAAAGGGGAATAATAACAATATCTACCACATTGATCATAGTAAGGAACAAATATAACATTTAATGTCTCCTGCCTGACATATAGTAAGCACTCAGTAACTATTAGCTTACAAAGCTATAAAGCCCAGGAAGTAAAGAAAACTCCACTCATCCACTTACCAGGAACAATCAGATCCTAACCACACTATTGCAATAGGTCCATAAAATATGAATTACAAGGCGTCCTGGAACCATTCTCATCCCATTTTTCCACACGATCAACTTCATTACCCAGCAACATTATAACAAATCAGGTACCACATTAATGATAAGAAAAAGATATAAAAGGGCAATAAAAAAGTAAATGCATGGTACAAGGAAGTAATTCACTCAGTCTTTGGGATGGGGAGGTAAGGGAAAGCTTCTCAGCAGAAGTAAGACCTGAGTCACATTTTGAAGGATGGTGACAGTAATAACCACAAAATAAAGCCAGTGCCACTGATGTCTCCATTAAGTCACTTCCCCGGGGCAGGTGCTGAAGCCTTCTACAAGTGGCACCCCCAAAATGCTTCTACAAGTGGCACCCCCAAAATGGTCCCCAAAATGTTGGTCCTAAGCTCCTATTTTACAGATGAGGAAATCAAGGCCCAGTAATTTGCACAATGTCAAACACCTAACAATACATGGTAGAGGTGAAGAGTTCTCCGGGTCCAAAAGTAAAATTTGACAGAGAAAAATAGCCCATATTAAGCACAGGCATGGGAAGGAAATAGTGTGAGTGGGGAAAAGAAAATAGTTTGGGTTTGCTTTAACAGCAGGTATGATGGGGCAGCTTGAGCCTAGAGAGGAACACACCGGGCAGATCCCATGACAGGTGCCTGTAAATGAGGCTGTAGGTGTCAAGATGACATTGAAGAGTTTTAAGCAGGACATAGAATCAGGCATGGACTTCACACTTGAAAGAGCATGGGGTGGAGAGTTCGAAAGAGGAAATGAGACACAGGAGAGGGGAACCGGCCTCTGCTGTTTGCAAAGAGCCTCTTGTAAAAATGCGTTCCTGCTGCTATGATTTGTTTTGTTTCCTTCAAAGCACAGACATGGTTTCTAGGCACAATAAAACTCTCTGTATCAGCACTGTTTTGACATGTTTCTTTTGACATAATGTCACTGAGATCACATTTCCAAGTTTTATTTGAATCAAAGAAGTGCCTGCTAGCAGTGCCCAGGGATGTGGACTAATTCCTAGTGACAAATTCTTTGCTTAGGAAAGAAATGTAGAATATTAATCACTTGAAGAACCGTACTTAGTATTTTTTATTCTTCATAACATAATGATCATTGTGCTAAAGGAGGGAACGTGCAAGGAAAAGAAACAAGAGAAACTCAATGAAGCATTAATCTGAGGCAGTAACAATTCTAATGGAGACTAAAAGTCCCTCATGCTTACTGGTCCAATGAACAAAATTTTGTTTATCACCGAAGACTGATTCACAAAGAAGATGACAGAAATTAAGCCCTTGGGGAGGGAGTTTAGACAGAAACACAGGAAGTGCTTTGTAAAAATCTGACAACGAATACTTTTTCATATTGTCTTTTGGAAATGATATTGTTTACCTCAGTGTCATGACTTGCTGGTCATCCCTGCTGTAGGTTTAATGAGCACCAGAAAAGACACCTGGATCCCTGCCATCTGGTTCACACTGCTTCCCACTGCACTACTACACATTGTATTTGTTGTGTTTTATAGGTCTTCCAGTAAGTAACGATGTGCTAATTAACATCTAATCGTGCCTGGGACCTGCTGCACCTTGGGCTGCTCTCAGTTAATGAAACAGAAATGATGATCCCTCATGGGATATGAGCAAGTCTGTTGGGTTAGGAGGCAAGTGGGGTAGGGGTGGTAAGATGGGCGAGGCCTGGGTATCAAAAAAAGGAGAAGAGAGCACTAGCCATAAACATAACTAGGTGCCAAGGGAAGCAGCCTATATGGACAGGCTAGCACACAGGTCAGCTGTTGACTGTTCGGCTCCCCATGGGAGGCAGGTGGAGGTGAGAAACCGAGCGACATACCTAAGCACTCCTCTCCCATCACTCTGCTTAACTCTAAGTAGGGGTGATGATATTATTAAATTCGCCCTGATGAACAAACTGCTTTTACGGAGACTTGAGTTATTTTTATTTCAAGAACAGACTGATAAAGGTGCCAGGCATGGCGAGTTAGCAACAGTGTTCTACTGTGCAAGGGATTATTAATCAAAGAAAGAAGAAGCCCAGGCAAGAGGCAATGTGCTTCCTTTGTCCAGTATGAATATAAATTTATTTAATTATGGAGTCAGTTTGGCTGTTAAAAATCATCTTTCTCGGGGCGCCTGGGTGGCTCAGTCGGTTAAGCCTCCGACTTTGGCTCAGGTCATGATCTCACAGTTCGTGAGTTCAAGCACCGCGTCAGGCTCTGTGCTGACAGCTCAGAGCCTGGAGCCTGCTTCGGATTCTGTGTCTCCTTCCCTCTCTGCCTCTCTCCCACTCGCGCGTGCGCGCTCTCTTTCTCTCTCTCAAGAATAAAAATGTTAAAAAAATTTTTTTAAAAATCATGTTTCTCCTGCAGCATATGAGATCTGAAGCCCTTCAGACAGATCTTAAAAACTCTCAGAGAAAGGGAAGATAAGTATTTGATTTTCCAGAACCATATCCAGGAAAATAGGTGGGCATGATACAGTTTGGTGATAACTAGAATATGCAAGTTCATATCGTAGTCTGGTATTTATTAATAAAAGAGTGAGAGCTTTCTTATGCCTTACCCATTTATCACAGAGACTCGCTGTTGCATTTTTATGACTTTCATTTCTTAGCCGACAGCTCCAAAATTATTAAGTCTGGTCCCAATGAATGTGAAATGCATTGCAGGGCACTCACTGGAATAAGTGCAGGGCACTACACTGGAATATGTAGCAGAAGGCTACCACCTAGTCAGCCCTGTTCCATCATGTTTGACCCAGACAACTACAATAGCTCTTCCTAGGTCTCTCTGTACAACCTTGGACCTCCCCAATCCATTCTCTACACCCTAGTTCTATTTTTATGTCATGAGTCTTGCATCATCCCACCTCATAAAGCCCTTTCACCTCTTTCCATGGTCTGTAGGATCCTGCATGGTCTGTCTCTGTTTACTTTTTCAGACTTCTCTTTAGATCTTTCTCTTCCATTCCTCCCCTACTAGTTCATTCTCTCTTCAGCCTTAGAAGACTGTGATGTTGTGTGGCTCGCACCTATCTTCATGATGTTGTCAGTGGCCTGGTTCTTTTCTCTTCATCTTTCACCCTCAGCCCAAGTGACACTTCTTGCAGAGACATTTCTGACACTCCATATTTAATCAGGTCCTCCTGTTATATACAATACCATATTCTTGTTCACAGAACTTAGCATAATTTGAAAATATTTTCTTGTATGCTTTTGAATTGAATGTCTTCATTCCCACAATGCCATCAGGATGCAGTCCTGCTTTTACTCATCCTTGACTCCTTAGTACCTGGACACTGCCTGAAATGTACCCTCTATAAATAGTTGTAGAGAAAAATAACAAGTTAATAAATGAACTGAAGAAAGGAAGGAGATAAGGTTAAAACACAAGTTTTGGGTGTGTCTGATATACATTCCCTAGGTTCTATTTTTAGAAATTAGCATGGTTACCAATTAAGTTCAAAGAAGTCACTCATATGCCTAAAGGTGTCTCATGGAAGCCATCTTGAGGTAAACTGGAATCTGAGCATTGGAAGAGATCTAAAATATTTCCAATGCAGTGTTTTTCAAATTGTGGCTTAACCCATTAATGGGTTGTGAAATCAGTTCTGTGGGTTCTAACAAGCACTTTTTTTGAAGAAATAAAGTAGACTGTAAAGCATAGGAAAAAAATGTTGTTAACATGGACGACTAAACATTGTCTATGAAACTTTTGTTTTTGTGAATATAATGTGCGTCTCTGTGGGTATATCTACTGGGTTGTAATGAAAAATATATTTCTTTCTAGGGGTTGCAGTCAAAAAAGTTTGAAACATGTGACCCTAGGAAAACCTGCTGCTTAAGGCCAAATCCCTATTCAAACTCTACCTGAGCAAGGGTCAGTTCTGCTAGCATTATCTAGAAAAGCAAGGGAAGTGAATTCCTGACATTAGTTATCACTTCTAAAAGTTCTCAGGTTTTGGAGAAAAAAAGATAGCGATTTATTCATCAAAGGAAGAATTAATTAAAAACACAAAAAATACAGTTAGAAAATATGTGTCATTACGGTTGGGCTTAAATATCACATGTGAATTTGAAGCAAATCTGTTAAACGAAACAAACTCAGAGAAGATATCTGCACATTGGTAGTAATTTTACGTACCATGTGGCAGAGTATATTAGATATGATATTTGTAAAGTAATTAGCATAAAACATGGCACATAACATAGTAGTAAAGAACATGGCCCTGGGGCCAGACTGCTTGTGTCCAAATCCCAGGTCTTCCTCTTAATGTCTTTATAACTGGAACAAGTTAGAAAAGCCCTCACCATCCCCATGTATAATGGTACATACCTCATAGGGATATCGGGAAGATTAAGCGAGTTAATATATATTAAGTACTTAAAACAGTGCCTGGAAGATAGCTTGTAATGGGTAACTGTTAGCTCTTATTTTAATTACCTTTCTCTTTCCATCCATGAATATCAAATATACCTCTGGTATGAAGCAGATTAATTTTATGCAGCTGTTTCCTATTATTTTATAAGAGGCAATTATATGAAGACATTTACTGCCAATGGTCTAAGCAACATGGTTCCCGTTAATTGAACTTTTACTATGTGTCTGATAC